GCTTCTTCTAAATAATTTATTCTGAGTGCTGAAAAGACTGCTGTGTTTCCTCCAAAGAAATTACCTTGACAGAAAACCCAATTTACTTAATTGGCTATTTTAAAAACAACCTTGTGTTATAGGCAGAGTTTGAATTGAATGCTGCTATGTAGCCTGCTGTGACAGCATCTTTTGCATGTCAGTTTTCCATGTTTCATGGTAGAAAGGCTGATACCATGAACCATTGAATCACTCAATAAGACCAAGATATCACAAGAAATAATCACCAAGAAGGGAATTCTTGATTGTTATAGAAATTCACCTATTCATCACTGTTGGAAATGTATAGAAAACAGGATGGACAATGTGCATACTTATGTTGGGGCATAAATGTTAATAAGGAAAATGAGACAGGCATGTCACAAGTTAAAATAATTTCAAGTCAAAAGAATTCAAACTAATTTTGAATGTACAGCAAAATGGATTAAGGCAGTGTTTCTGACACTGTTGGAGAAAAAACATTTAACAAGTTTGAAATGATTTTAACCCTTAACATACACATTAGATATAACTTACCAGACCAGTCTCACTAATGGCCACCCAGCCATCCTTGGCTCTCATACCACCAATCTCAACTAAAGGGGGCTTGCTTCGATTTATCTTGAAGCGATCACTCAAATTCTTCTGCATGAAAGAATGCTGGGGATCTTCAGACAAGCTAAACAAATTCTAATGAAATGTAAATGAAAGCAAATGTAAGTAAAGCTAAAAAAACAAATCACAAGAATCTTCCCAAAATTTTCTTCAGTTACAGATTATTCTTCATTCATTTGTCTCAATGATAAGTTATAACATTGACAAGATTTTGCTTTAACTCAAGCGCAAGAAGAGAAAAACAGGACAGGAGGGGCCATCCAAACTCCTGGGATGGGTAATTTTGCCACTCAGACAAGAAAGACAAGAGTAATTTATGAACTTATTTATCCAATCAAACCACCCCCAAAATGGGCAATTAACTTTTTTCACTTGGCTTTGCACATGTTACATAATAACTCATTTTTCCATATTTGATAACTTTATTGCCCATAAATACAAGTACCTCTTACAGAAAGTAAAAAAAAAAAAACCATTTTGTCTACAGTGCATGATTGTGTTTGATTTTGTCATGCAAAGTGCAGGTGTTAATTTTTGCTTCTAAGACCCTGAAGTTGTTAATGTCTGTTTTTTCCTGACAACTGATTTGACAGGTAAAATAAATCCTGGCAACCCAGCCATGAGCCCCCACATAAGAAAGGGAAACAGGCACCAGTTACAGTGAATAAAGGGTGGAAAGAGGAGGGAGGGGTGGGGAAAACTGCCTAAACTGATCATCATGAATATTTTCCATTCAATTCTAGGGAGATTTAAATTTGTAAATAACAGGGTTGCCATGGACAGTTGAGCACTCAGCTTGAACAGATTTGTAGTTTTAGAACTGGCAAGCACTCACAAAACATGAAACTCTGAGTTACATTACCAACTTTTCTTAGGAACAAAATGGTCTCATAATAATTGTGCAACCCATCTACATGTACAGGCACTCTAACAAATAATCTGAATCTGTCAGTCATATCTACAAGCACTTCCTTGACCTAATTTGACAGATGAGTCAGCATGTGTTACATGTACCTTAATGCCAGTATCTATCCATGAAATGGCAACTAGTCTTTCTCCTTCTCCAACATCAATGGTGCGGATGCATTCCCAGTCATTTACCATATAATTCTGTGGAAGAAATGTAAAAACACAACAGAAATTCAGACAATACATTCTTCAATCATGATCAAAAGAACTTGAACTCAAAGTATTAAAAAAGCTGCAAACAAGTTTATCATGATTTTGTTGTCTGAAATAAAGAATAAATTATAGAGTGTTCTCAGGAGAGAACTGAAATAAGTGTGAAGGATGGTATATAAAACATCTAGTATCATATCCAATTTTAGAATTTCCCCAACAAACTCACAATCATTTTATCCCTCTTCATTCCCTCACATCAGCATCCGTGTTCTCTATACCCTACTCTATACATTTCTCTTGGCACTGACAAGGAGAATCTGAATAACAATTAAGGCTGGCAATCACTTCCTTTAGTTCTCATGATCTTAAAGATAGATTCATCAGTATTAGAGCTAAAAGGAGAAATTAGAAGCAGGTCACTCTTAATATTTAAAGGGTTAAATAAAAATGATGTATAAATAGCATTAATGATTGCTAAACTGAACTCAACTTAACCCTTTCACTACTAAGAATGACCAGCATGTAATTTCTCCTTATACCATCATCCCTGAATTAAACATTAAGGTTATGAAAATAAAAACAATGATCACAAACTAAAGAAGCTCTTGACTGTGAAATAAATTCTCCTTGTCAGCACCTTAGGAAGTGTTTAGATAACAGTATGGAGAATATGCATACTGATGTTATGGTGTAAAGGGTTAAAGAGGTTGGTAAGGAGAAGTCAAAGGTGACACAAACAAGCCACATCTGGTGCAATCAGTCAATAAATTTTGAAGTACAATGGATGTTTCAAAATTAGTACCACTAGGATTAAAGAGTGTTTGATGATATTAGCTGTTTTGGTTTCATCAACTGTATATACAATACAGTATATAATGGCATTACTGTGAAGCTGACACTTCTAACTTTGCCCTTGGTCAGAGCAAAAGCTTTCAGTTTAAATAAATTAGAATACTGGTAATCATTAATCATTTTTGATAACATTTTGATAAAAGACAGAAAATGCAGGTAAACCATCATTAACCTTAGATGAGTATGAACCTGGTTTCATTTTCAAAATGAATAACACAAATTAGACAACTCAATAGGAACCTGCCTTCATAGTCCAGAGTTTGCACACCCCAACAAGGTCTGTGGAGAGAAGTCTTGACCCTGTTCCATCCCATGATAGAGTTTGGATTAAACCCTCATGACCAGAGCTAAAACTTCAAAATACAGTAAGCAAATGATTATAAAATGTTCGACAACATTTAACCAAAAACTTTTTGCTTGTATGAGTTATCCTTTTGACAAAAATTGACAAGAGGGGATTTGAAATCACAACATTGAGCTCATTCAGCATGTCAAGCTTTTAACTTGAATTCAGCCATAGGAAATAATTCAGTTTTCAAAGGAAAGCAAAAATGAAACCAAATAAATGAACACATGAAAATAAAAAATAGAAGTACATTTACTTGATTCTCCTAAACTAAGCAGTCAAAATTCTCATTTGTCAACTTAACCCTTTTCTCCCTAGGATAAATAATTATCTAGTTTCCCCCAACAGTATCAATCCTGAATCAAACATTAGGGACATGAGAATAAAGAAAATGATTGTAATGTCAAAAATCCTTTGATCGTTATACAAATTCTCCTTGTGCATACCAAGGGAAATGCATAAGGAACTGTATGGAGAACTTGCATACTGATGCTGGGGTGGAAAGGGTTAAATTATAATCAAAAGACAGGTATTTTAGAGAAAATTACATTTGATACCTGCATACATCCCAAGGACAATCAGGATCCAAAATATTTATTCCATTTGTGACCTGTGATCTAAAAATCCATAACAAGAAAACAATCAGAAACAGAATTGTATTATAGGCCCAGTGAAGAGGCAAAAATAGATATTCTATACTTCATCACTGAATTCACTTTGATATGGATTTGCTTTTCATCTCTGGGGCTGGGCTGTTCAAAGCTGGGTTAAGATAACCCAGGGATAGAGTGAAATTTGATTTCAGATCAAAAAACCTTTAAAAAATTAATTCATTTTAATCCAATTTGTCTACAAATTCTAAAAATTAATATTATTTGAAAAAGACTCTTGAATAGAGAAGTAAAGAAACTTGGATTAAAATTTAATCCTGGGTTAGTGCTAATCGGCCTTCAAACAACTGGGCCCAGACCTGGTAAGATTCTCTAGTGCCTGTCTTGCATTAGGAATTTGTCTCCATTATACTAACAAAGCAAAGTAGAACAAACGATTCTAGAATTAAAAAACATTGTCTTGAATCATTATTTATTTCTATGCATACCTTTTATTTTGTCCATTGGTGCCACTTGGATTATGTTCTTCATTGAGATCAAGTTTTCGGTAACCAGTACTGAATGCAATCAAGTTTCTGCAGGACCAGGCTACAACAACTTTGCCACAAGGATTGCTTTAATTTAAAAAAAAGCCATGTCATTAAAGTAATGGAATCTAGATTTTCCATCGTCAATAGTAAAATGAACAGATTTTACCGAAATGTTTACATGTATCTCTGGAGATCTTTTAAACTGAAATTGCTATAATTATGTTAGATCAAAATAATTATAAATCTTGCCGTTTAAGTTTAGAAGGCATGAAAGAAGAGTCGTGCAAACTTATTCAAAGCTATTATTGGCCTTGCATCGCACAATATTTTGATTCTCACTTTCCATTGGTTTATTTCATCAGGCTGAAACATATCTCAGCCTGCTAAATTCTCCAATTTAGCCTGCAAAATGCGCCACAGTGCCCGACAGAGTGATAATAAATGTAACTCTCTTTTGTTCACAAATACACGGACGATATCATAACACAGCTGATGTAGATTAAACAAAGCTGTCAACTGGGAGATATTGTCTTGATATCTTTTTTCAAAACACCTCATTCGCATTAATACCCATTACTAGAAATGTATAACCATCCATAAGTATCGAGAACATGCTTTTATATCAATTCTGGATATTGTCAGTGATCAGCTTCATTCTGTTCACATTAGATCAATTTACTTTGACTTTATTCCTTGCATGAAAATAATCAATTGATAGAAAACCAGCAAAGTTTTTACCTTTTTACTGGTTTTGATGTAGACCAAACCACATCGTAAATCAAGTCCATTTTATTCCTGGTTTATCTTTTCCGCCATGTTGGATGAATTACCGCTGACCTATGACGATTGATACTAAATGAATCAACCGGAAATTACTTTACTGTCAAACTATCACAGGAAGTGAAATTCAAAAGAAAGAAACGGGAGTTGTGCAAACATGTTTCTCACAGATTCCTAATTACTTTGTTTCGAAAGTTGTCTTTTATCCAGCAATTTGGTCAGGACCAAACAATTTCTTCAGGACGGCTGAAAGCCGATATATGGATAAAATGTCTGTATGTTAAAACAATCATATGTTATGGTAGTATCCGCCTTTCTTTATTACGACGTGTGAACTAGAGCTTCGCCTTGAAACTCACTTCTCATCCAGAGGTCATTTAAGAGTGCATCATCGTTTTGACATCATGGCTGCCGATATTACTACTGCTGATGTTTATGAAGATGCTTCTCTGATAGGACAAGACATCGAGAAAATTATCGACCGTTTTGGGCACGACGCAGTCATGGACTTGATGCCCAAGGTCATTCGAGTGCTCGAGAAACTGGAGGTCGTTGTTGGGGAAAAGGAGAAGGATAAACTGGAAATTGCTGAGCTGAAACTTGAAAATGAACGACTCTACTTGGATATAAAGCGAGAAGCGAGCCAGCGGAGAAAATTAGATGAGGTAAGTTTTGATACTCGCCTGCGTGAAGGCGCGAAATGAGCAATCAATGCTCTTGCAATGTCCTGCGACTCGTCGCTCGAAGATAATTTGTTTATTTAAGGAGCTTGCATTACTTCATTTAGATTTGTCTTCAGTCAGGGAGTAACGTAAGCTAAAGATGGTAAAATGGAGAAAGATTTATGATTGTAGGATTCGCTAATGTACAAATGGGACACCGATTTAAGTTTACCGAAGCAACAAGTTGTTGTTTTGAGAAAGATGACCTCAATGAACGTACACGTGTGTTTAACTAGAACTGCACTGTTCGCAATCGGAGAAAGACGCAGGAAAAGCTAACTATACCGTAAATTACAGCGAGCGACAATTTGATGGCATAGGATCGAAACCTAATTCTTGCATCCCGAGTATTTCACAGATAGTTTCTGATAATTTTTTTGGAGGTAAGAGAACACTTTACTGCGTAACTCATCAAATTTCATATCACATGCCGATATTTTGTTGTTTTGTTTTCAAGTGTATCTCGGGAGGTCTACATATGGAGTCAATTAAAAGCTTGCGACGATCATAGTGAAAACAATGGCCATAACCAATATTCAATATCAATTAATTACGCGATATTCTTGTCCCTCCTCAATAATATCATACTTGAGGAATCAAAGACTATTGAAAAATGTCCCTAATATTCTTACTTCACCAAGAGCTATGACTTTTGATAATGAAAGGGTTCTACTTTGAATTCTCACGAAGAGAGCATTTCCTGTCGAGTTCATTGAAATGATACTTAGCATAAAGCAGTCAAATGTTTATTAGGTTCAGACTGCGTGAAGGCCAAATCATTTATACTCACAAAAGACTTTGTTGAGGGGGAAAATGAAATGCGGTTTACATCCAATAGTTTCTGCACTAGCTCTAGCTCTAGCTCAATCCTATGTTCAGGTTGGACTTCAACCTCTTTTAAGTTCGATGCTGGATAACAACACATGACAGGGAAATATTTACATTTACCTTGGTCATGTTTGACATGAAAGATACTGTGATCTGATCTCTGCAAAGAAGCCTCACATTTTAAAAAGACAATTAAACATAACCTTAAGATGACATCGACAATACCTGGTTATTGACTGATTAGTCTTATCACTATCACTTGTGAATTACGTGGTTTCGGTGCCAAAAGAATGGTTCCCTAGGAACATATAGTTGATGGCAAACTTGTCTTAATTATATTTTTGACATTAAAGGTTATCACAGCAACTGCAAGGCCTGCTTAAAAGTTGCCTTTAATTTGGCTTTAAATGCTACCTAGCCATCCAGATACAATGTTCCATATCTCATCAATCAACCAACCTACATTTTTTTTTTTTGGAATAATGAGGAAAGAAAAATTTTCTAGCTATATACTGTCTGACTGGAAAAATAATAATTGTGAAGTGAGTTACATTCTCAGTGAAGGTGACCAAGACTTCAATAGAAATTGACTATGCTCAATTTCTGGTCTTTGCATTTTGGGAATGTTTGCATTTAGTGGTTACTTTCTTTTCCTTTGTCTTCTTCTTTTTGCCAAATCCACCTACTCATGTTATGAAAGTGACACCGATGGGAAACAAAACTATTCACAGGGAAGCCTTTATGATTAAAACGTGAAGTTATTGATCTTAGTAATTGTTATATGAAACTTTTTAGGGTAGAAGTATGTGAGATGTGTGACAATTTTTGAAAATCTAGTCCCAGCCCGGCAACCAAAACTGATGTGGTTGTACAGAGATGAAAAATTTAAACTCTATTAGATGCTGAAACCAATAATTTTATTTTCACAATCTTTTATAAGAGACTGAAATTCAAAAGAATCACAGATAGACGTTTTCATTAAATTTGGTGAACATTTTGGGAGACAACAACAACAACAACAATCTTTATTTCCACCCAGTATTTTAAAAACATTCTAAAGTTGAATAAATAAGGGTGCAGGATATCCTAAAAAAAACATAAGGGCTTGTCACAGTAGGATATTCTAAAGAATGAAATTACATTACAATTTGATATTTTGTTGCAGTAAATTTAATTTTGTTCTAATGAATACTAGAGTGATGATGAACAGTGATTTTGTTCATCTTAATTTTATCTCTTAGGAGCTTTATCAGATCTCTGCAACAGGAGAAACAGACAACCTAAAAGCCATGCTAATTAAACTTCAAGAAGAAAACAAGAAATTGCGAATGGAGGTTGAAGTAACAGTTAATACCCAACCAGGTAAGTGTTTTTAACATAAAGGTAGAGTTTACTGAGGAAAGTATTCTTGTTCCTCTCTACACTGTACCCCCCTCCCTCTTTGCACATTTCGGTGGGAGGTGTAGTGGTCTCTTGATTGAGAGAGGCCTGGATTGTTCAAGCCTTGGCTGGCAAGCTTGTTGTGTTCTGTTTGTGCACAGGAGCATTTATCCTCACAGTGTCTTACCTAATTGTGGAAGATTAAAAAGTAATGGCAGGGAAAATTGGCAGGTTTGGGGAGGGGGGGGGGAAGGGAGGTGAGGAGTACCTGTGATGGCAGGCAATTTCTTGGAATACAAAATGTTCTTTGTGCAACTTGTCACTTAAGGATAACGAGATTAGGATAAACTCTCTTGATGATGAATATGATGAGCTTTTCAGGGTATGTAGGAACTCTTCTGAATTGTGAAGATAAAGTTGACTAGATGTGGAGTCCACTTGGGGCTCTTCAACCTTTTTTTTCAATGGTTTCCAGGCTTCAAGTTCACAGTGATGAGTGATACCTTTGGTATGCTGACTGACAGTGATTAGCCAAGTTCATAGTTGTTTATTTGATATATTTGTTTCAATGGTTAGCCTTGAATTATATGAAGTGAGCTTTACTCAGAATTTCCAGAGACAAACTTAAGGGGGTGATGGAAGAAGCTTTTCTTAGTCTGAAGAGAGTGATTTGTCAGGTCAGAGTACCTGCATTTCCTTTTAATTCAAATTTTTTCATCGTCAGAACTATCAAGAAATGGTGCAGGGATCAAAGTTGGTATTTGATATTGTTATCACGTTACATTGGTGATAATAGTACTCAACCAATAAAAGCGTTCGCATCCCTATAATCACTTGAAATTTAAATATTATTTACAGCAATAATAACTTCAAGTTAATCTTAAACAGGATTAAGCAGCAATGGTTTTCTAGCTAGATTCCCTGGAAGTTAAATGACTTCTTTCTGTCATAAATATTTTGAATAATGAATTATTTATGTTTACAGCAACGGCGTACATAAGCGCACCTGGCGACGCAGAACTGATGCAAAAGATGAAAGAGACGATTGATAACCAGAGAGACTCCATACGAAGTAAAAACAAGGAGATTGACAGCTTAAGAACTGACCTTGATGCGGTACGTAACATCTTATGCACCTTGCGTGACCCGCGTGACTTGTAAGCTCTCGTAGTTGGCAGGCTCACGCGAGTCACGTAAATGAAATGAGGAGATGACTAAGAAGTCACGCATTAGAGTTCCAGATTAGGTGGGGACAGGAAAAGTGTCTGTAACTCTCCCTCTTTGTCAAGAAAACGGATAATTTGTAGTTAAATCACGGTCGGACGTACATTCCCTCGAAACTCGATCCTTGAATCTCGACTCTTGTTGACTGTATGAATCGAGGCTCGAGTTGAGACTCGACGAGGTCGGGGCCACTTTATAAATTTACGAGGACATTCGAGAAATTTTCTAGTCGAGAAACGAGGAATCTTGGTGCGATTATCACGCCAGCAGAAGCTGCTTGCATCTCTTACTCGGTATAAAGTCTGACAAAGCCCATTTAAGTTGTTAAAATTTCGTGCCCGACGCGGCGGTAAAATTTTTTATGAACTTATCGTCTTTTTCTTTTTCAAATTCAAAACCGTGGTCAAGTGTGACCCTTAATACTAGTGGGACGTTAGCGAAGGACGTGCCTTTCTGGAAAATCCCACAAACGCCCTTGTGGCGTTGGCAGACGTTGAATTTTCGATAAGGTATCGACGACCTGAAATGTCGGTTAATCCTTCTTAGCTTTTCCTCGAATGAGCTGCAAAACTGCAGAACTCTTCAAGGTGTGTTACATCTGCAGGTGAACATTTTTACAGGATGTCGATGGAGGGAGTACGGTGATATATCGTTACTTTCTTCTCCTACATGTATTTCGCAAATCTTCGCATTAATCCAACTGAATACTCTTCCTCCTCAGGGTAAAAAGCAAATTTAATGAAATATGAAGTAAAAGAACGTCAATTATTCAAAATGTCTTTGGCGTGTGAGTGTTGCTTGGAATGACGCGGACTGTCATTCGGGAAGAAAACGGAATAGTTGTTAAAGATGACAAGCCCTTAACGCGAAAATAAACAAAATGATAGATTTTTATCATTTTTTGGGAAGTTTGCTTTAATTTGCGTTGAACAAATCAGTTAAAAAAACTTCTCGAAGAACCGTTTGAAGGAATGATGAACAGAAGAGGAATTTAATAACAAGGAAGGGGCAAGAAAATTGAAGGCCGCATTGTTCAAAGCTGAGTTAAGATAACCCAGGGTTAATGTGAAATTCGATTTCAGGTCCGACAGTTTTAAAAGAAAATTCATTTCAATTCTTTTTGTCTCAAATTTGATTATTGGATGCTTAAAAACAAAAGAGAAATTTTTCTGAAAAAGGCTCTTAAATAGAGAAATAAAGAAACCTGGATTAATATTTTACCCTGGGTCAGCGCAATCGGCCTTCGAACAACTTGGCCCATAGCAACTTGGCCCATAGCAATTTGTTTCGGGGCGTTTCTTGGCCATGTTCATAGCGTCAGTTCCATTCTATACACACTTTCCTTCGGTCGGGGGAGGTTATCCTTTTTATCTAAGCTGAGAGATTATTACTAGCACCGAATTCGTTTCTTATAGGTAGAGGAACAAATCGTACGGCTGACTAACATTAACGAGAGTGTCAGAAAAACCCTGGGCGCCAGTAAAGACCGAATACACGATTTGGCGAGGGAGAAAGCAGAGCTTCAAACTGAGTTGCGGGCACTTAGACTCAGGGCCGAACCTCTGGCAGAGAGTGACGAGGACGGAGATGCTGAGAGTGTGGAACAATTTATGAACAGCTACGGTAAACAACCGCTCGAAAATCATGGCGCAGAGGACGATAAAGAAGGGGAAGCTTTAGCTGAGGATACAGTGAAAAATTCCTACGAAAATTCTGGAACCGTAGAAATCAGCACAGAAAACCCTCCTCCCAAACCACCGCGGCTTAAAGTTGAGGAAGAAGGTGGAGAAAACGTAGACGAGTATAATAATAATGAAACGAAAGTTGCTGAGGATGAAACGGAACCGGAAGTGCAAGTTGAAAGGAAAGAAAAGGAAGTGCTCATAAAACAAATTGATGATGACAAGGAAGGGACTGGGGATGATGGATGGGAAATTGTTGGTCGATCGTCGAAGAAAGTGCTCAACGGAGAGAAGTCGAAGGATGGAAGTACGGAAAAGAGAGAGAGTCAGACACGAGCAGAAACCGGTAATAAAGATCCAAACAGACCACGTTACACAAAAGCAGAGATGCTGGAAGTTTTAACAGAAAGGAACAAGTTGAAAGAACAGGTGTTTGCGCTGCAGGATGAGCTGAAAATATACAAACCTGGGTAAGAAACCCTCATGACTGGAAAAAATTTTTGTCGCGTTGTTTAGTAATCTGACTCCTACACTGAAAATATTCCTAGAGTTTACTTCTCACACTTGCGCATGATACAATGTCAATGGGAATCAACACATTTTACAACGGTGGTGTAAGTGTGTAATTCTCAAGAAAACTTAGAGAGAAAAAAGAAACTTTTTATTGACGCCTTTTAAACAGCAGGAGGATGTTTTGTTCGTAGTAGTGCCTTTAATTTTTTTTCAGTTGTGGGTAAGGCATATCACGCAAAATTTATACCTTCATTTCTGACAATAGCTAGGCTGTCAAATATCGTTAAAAATTTATGTCGTGAGAAGTCAATTCTCATGGATTGGTAACAGTATTACTTTTCGTAGACCATTTGTTAAATTTCTCGATAATTATTTTCATGTATTTTTGTCCATATCTTTATTTATGGCGTGCACAAGTCCACGACAAACGAAGATCTAACATTGAGCCATCATAGTTGAAGTGAAATGAGAGTGATCTTCGCAGTGATGAACACTACGTAAGCAATAGTGAAAATCAACCAGCTAAAAAAGAGAAAAAAATTAGGCTTCTTCGGGAGTTAAACTCATGACTTCTGCGTTATCGGGGCGGCGCTCTAGCAAATGAGCTAAAAAGCCATATGGGTGTTAATCATTTTGTAGGTTCGCATCACTGCTTAATGTGCTGTTTATCACTGTCGAGATCTTTTTTTTATCTTCATGTATTAATCCGCAGTTCAAATATACGATATTCATGTCTTCACAATCGATTATAGTTAAAGTGGTAATATGTTAACTTAGACGTTTTTTCCCTCCAATTTCAAGGTATACTGAGGATGAAGCATACGGTTACTCGAGTAATAACCCGTCACCCAGGAGAGTGTCAAGACGTGAGGAATCTGGGATATCAAGAATGTGAGTTTGTCACTTCTCTTCATTTCTGCTCACTGAGTTGAGCTATCCCCCACCCACCTCTCCTTCGTAAAAGGAGACATAACAATAGTTGACTATTTGATATTTTCCTTTGCGGTCAGTGAATAGTCTGAAGTGTCAGTCGTCATCTCGCCCCAATCCCCGAAGCTGAGCGCTCTAATGGTGATTAGGGCGAGGATGCGGCTGCCTCTTCAGACTAGTCCTAAGTGGTACTTAGTAATAAAATAATAGACCATGAAAACAAATTCCTTTCGCAAGGGAGAAAAGTTTATTTACAAGATTTGCTCAGCATTCCATAGGTTGAACCTAATCTCATGTATATTATCCAACTGGCTTGAATGGTCAGTGTTATGGGAGAGAGTTCTAAAGGTCTGAAACAGGAACATAACACAATAAAACCCGGAGTAGAAGAACGAAAAGGCTTCGAAAATGAAAGGGAGGTTAATTGAAATGCTACAGTAATATGGGATCACTTGTCAGTACCCCTCCCCTAACCCGACAATTGACAACAAGGTAGGGTTTATGTCTGGTAGATTGTTACTCAGATACTGAGGGGTAGGTGTTCAGTTACCTAGATACTGACATTGATCCGTAATATGCTACAGTGTTTGTTTTGAATTGCTATTCAGGTGCTTAATACATGCTGTACGCATGAATTACTTCAATCTGCTCTTCAACTTGAACCTATTTTTTTTTTCTTTTTCAGTTTCAGCATCTTCACTCGAAAAGGAGAAAATTGACTGATTCCTTTGATTCTGTGTCAACCATATATTGACGGGAATGCGAATTTGTTGTTTAGTATGCTGGGTGACATCTATGAATTGTCTTCTCAGGTTTGTTCAGAAAATCACCAGCAGTCTAAGCAAGAAAAACCAGAATAGTTAATGAAAATGTTAGGTAGTTACCGATTATTGTTCCCCACCCCCCCCCCCCCAGCAAATCACATAATAGCCTAAGCCCATGTTTAAGTTTCATAAAATTAAGTAATTCGTAAGAGCGCAATTCGATTCAATGTCGTAAAACGGAAACCAAAGTAATCACAGCGAATCACAAAGGCCAATCCAGACCAAGGAAGATATCACTATGAGCCAATCAGAGCTCAAAGAAAAATAAGCCAAGTACCAGAAGCGTGGGAAAACGCAAGTGACAAAGGCACGACTGATTTTAGGTCTACATCCAATTGGTTGCGATGTTAGGGTGATTTAACAGCGTAGCCAAGTTGAGGAAAACCTTTCCAATTCTAGACTGTTTTGACCCTCAAGTGAAAAATATCATTGCTTAATCAAACCTGATGTCTTTATTTTGTAAGAGTCTGCGACATCTCCTATTTAAATGTTAGGACAATATATTCGTTTTCAGCGGAGCAAATCTGTTTTCTTAGCTCGAATAGTATTTAACAGTAAAAGGTAAAGAAACTAGCGGACATAGATAGGCTGCTATTCACTAAGACGCAAGTTCTCATTTGACAAATTTTCGTGAAGTAATCCGAAACCTATAAAGGAGTTTCGATAGCATTGGATATAATTTTTTGATTACAGGAGCTGATATGTCGGCAAATCGCTTTATTTTCCCCTTAAAAAATATTTTATATGATTAAGAATACTCCCTTCATTTCCTAATTGAATTTCCAATATTATAGTATGCTGTTTCAAACCTGAAAGACGGTATCTAAAGTGGTTCAAAATTCGATTAACTTTAATCCTATGAATTTGTAATTACCAGGTTGTAACTGAAGTATAAATTTTTTATTTTATGGCTATAATGAGAGAATAGTCTCTCTCATGAAGCTTTCTTACTAATTTTGTATGATTAATGAATATATTTTTGTAAAGTGATCGCTATATTTCTACTCGGAACTGAGAAACTTTGAGATTAGCCATATGAACTACAGCGTCTTGGATTTTCGACAGTTTATTTTTTATAATAAAGAGGTTAGCAAAATCTTACCCAGGTGTGGTTTTCATTTGCACTTTCCTCGCCCAAGACTGAGTGAACAAATTAAACTTCATTCTGTAAAATCCATATTCTCGGCTGGTTGACTCCCTGCAGTCAGTCTAAGCATGTAGTCTGATCGTCCGTTTATGTTTAGTCCTGTTGTCGCGATGACTGACGTTACAGCTACCTGAGCGGAAGTCATCATCCAGAGTCAAGTAAAGAGCTGTGGTCAGTCGAGTGTTGTTAGTCCGGTTCGTGTAAACTGATTCGTCAGTTTCGCGTGATGTTATTGGCTATGAAACTCGTGTGGTTTAAGCCAGTCATGATCAGTCAGTTTCGATACCCCGGTGATGTAAGGTCGTTCTGTTCGGTCGTCGCGGTGAAAGTGTCGTGAAAAAGTCGTTTGTATGGTGCTGGTAGTAGTTGACACCTGTTGAGGGGAGTCTGTTCTAAGTAAGTAAACCAGCTCTCTAGAGTCAGTCGTTGAGAATAGTTGGTGCCGTAGGTTAGGCATTGCGCAGAGTCCCAGTCAGTGTGCTTCGTAAGTCAAAGCCAACATTCCTTCTCAGGACCACCTTCAGCCGGACGATCAGACTACAAGATTAAGTGTTAGCCCCGAGTTCAAACCATTGACTGTATGCAGTGAATCTGTTGATAAATGGAGTCGGATTCGGAAGAGTTTTACGCAAATAGCTGTAAATTACGCTGAACCTTCAAGCAGAGAAGAAACATATTTACTGCAGGGAAAACGCTTGCAAAAAATTGTTTAGAAAGCACGCTGCTCAAATGCCTTGTTGTTGCGGTTGTTTTATCTATTTGAGCAGGTTTATAAATTGATTTAACTCCAGATTTCATAAGATCCCCTGGGTTTGTAAAAGGATTTTGATCTTAGAGCTTACATCTCTTGCACGGTTCTTCATTCAGCCTCACGTCATTTCATTCAACCTAACTTTATCCTCTTACAAGTTACAGACCTCACTGTATCAAACTGGAAATCATATTTTTTCATGTCTAGCAATTTGAAACAACACTCTCAGTCTTATAGTTACAAATGAAACTAATAAATGTAATAATCATCGTGTCAAGTTTATCTGTCAAAGTTACAGGATAAAGGTGGATTTCCAGTGTCGCGAATTTGTTTATGTTCGTAAAACATGCGTACAATTCAGTACCACGCTTTTTTTCTTCGCGTGCGAAAATCGCAGGCCCGTGCGTTTAAGTTGAATACTGTTTAACTTTTCTCTGCACTCTCGCGATTGCAACATTCGTTGGAAAAAAAATACAACTGGAAATGTGACAACGTTTGCCCAACGGATGCGTTTTTGCGCTCAAACATTCAATTCAAGGTACGATTTCTTTTGACGCGCGTTCACGTGCATAGACTAAAATGCAAGAGTGGAAATCCAGCTTAACACTTGTTTTTGTTCCCGTTTTTCCTCGGTGGTTATCTAAACAAGAGTAAGGTGTGAGTTTAGAAGATCAAGTCTACGGATTTAAGAAGTTTAACTTCTGCTCGAGGCAGGAAAGGGGTGATATCCAAAGATATCGCCAAGACTGTCAAATATTTGAATTGAGTTATTACCAAGGTGCTCCCGGGGTGGCTTGTGAAAAAAGCTATCACCTGTTTTAAAGAGGTGTTCCTTTCATATACATATCAAGGAATGGAGACAGCTAAGAATGTGGCACTGATCTGACCAGGGTTGTTAAACAACCCGTGACCTACGTAACTCCTTTCAGAAAGCCGTTTAAGTCGAGGAGACCACAGCAGGAGTAATTTACTGTCTCTGATTCATTCTCTAATCACATTTCACACTCGTTCTCTGTCCCTGTTTTCGCCCGTGCTTTATGCAAAGTAGCTTTCGCGCCCTTCTCCCGCGGCCGATGACACAAACTTATCAACATCAAAGACGTATCGATCACGCAATGTGAGAAGCAGGTTTCCCCTAAGGTTAGACTGGCAAAAGTACAGCAGACAACCTGCTTACTCATATGAAGTCTGAGAATGAAGAGCTATCAACATCTTGTGCGTATTGTAGTCTCTATATCAAAGAAAGTCTAGACAGCCTGGTCCACGATACAATATGCATTTATTTCAATTTCAGGAAGATCATCTTTCGTTGCCTCAAGCGAAGGGACAGAAAAAGGCATGTAACAGTCACCAACACCAAGAAAACAAGAGTGACTTTCCGTAAAATAACATTCAAGGTTGATATTTCCGAGCCTTTTTTAGCCGGTAACTCTTTATCACTTATAATGCGCTTGGTGGAAATGTTTCGCATGTTTTCCGGTTACGACTGGTATGATCCTAAAAAATCCAAAGATTTATCATCATTCAACACTTAGATAGTCTTGTATTACGGTACGTCACAGATTTGTAACTTGAACGCGGTTCTTGGCTGCAGTAATCGTTTGGCTAGCATCTTGATGAAACAGTAGAGTTCTTGCGTGAAAAGGTTGATGTTTTGAACTTCGACTGAGGAGTTATCTGGTCCACGAAGCCTCGGAGGATGACAACCGAAGCTTGCTTCATCTTAAGTCCAAAGCATGTTACTAGCGGAAGATCACCTTTGGAAGTGATGAAGTTCAACTAACAGCATTGGTGAGTGTATTTCCTTTCCTTTATTACTGTATTTCAGTGAGAATTTACAAGGTTCAATCATCATATCATGTTTCGATTGCGCAAATTTGGCATGATGCACGTTTCGAAACCGTATATCGAAGAATCGAGCTGAAAAAAAAAATTAATTTCGACGGAATCATTTGACTCAAAAGTCGTGTTCGCTCGGTGATTTGCTTTGTTTACCGAAGGTACGCACCAAGTTTTTAGTTCATGAGGTTTTACCCGGAAACTGGCATCCATTTTTTGTGGCACACGACACAAAACGCTGAGCTACCTTTGAGCGTTCTTTGAAGCAAGTTTCCTTTTCCCAGACCAGTCTGCGAATCACTCGTTAGACGCTACTCGTGATTCCGACACAAATGTTTTCCCAGGGTGGTGATAACCGAACTGAACCACAAAATTGTGCGGTAGATTCGATAGTAACCTGTTGGTGGGTTGTGTTTCAATTCAATTACTTTTCAGTTTCATCTTTTCTCTGACGAGCTTACCCTGAGGATTGTTATCGATCATTGTTCTTGCTCAAGACTCCTAGCCAACACTAAGCTCACGCATAACACATATGATAAATTCCAAGCGTTATTTTGCAAAGAATCATCCAAATCTTACTCAATAAACTACAAGGTTAGTAAGCTTTTACAGGATATGTCCAAGCACAATGGCGAGTCCCTCTTTGGCGCATTTCGGACAAATCTTTATGTATACTTAACCGTGCGAGCGGGGTTTGTTTTGGTAGTGGGTAGTGCAAGTAGGGCTTCAAGCGCCATTTGCAAAATCAATTATAGTACCAAGAAATTACTGCAAATCACGTCAACATAAATCACGAATGAACCGAGGACGACTGTTCAGATAATCAAGCCCTGTTTATTTAATATTACAGGTGGAATAATAACACTATGTTTTCGTCTCTGGACGCGGTTAGCGTCACAGACTGTTAATACAAAAATAATGTCGATAAACCAATTTGTTTTTTTTTCCATCAGTTAAAAATGATTACCTACTTAGTCAAACGGACCGGTTAATTCGAGCTAAACACTTTTAGTCTCCAAAGAATAATGTTTACGTTTCTGATGAAGGAAATACGTTTACGTCAGAGGTAAATTTAACCTACAACCAATATTCTCGAAAACAACTACATTTCATGAATTTGATATCACAAGTAAGATGAGTGCCGTTGGAAACAATGAAGAAGCAATATTCTGCAAATCTCAGAAATTCACATCTGCTTCGTATTAGCCCCCCTCTTCGTTAAGAAAATAATTTGTTGAAATCCACCCTTGAATTAGATTAAAACTATGTCTGTCTCGGTATTTAATGCTCATTTCCGGCGATCAAACATTCGCCAAAAAGCATGATACCGTTTAGGGGGCGGATTTCGGTCTACTAAGTCTGGAACACACACGCATAGAAATTAAAAGATCTCTTTGTTGAAAAGATCTTTTGTGAGGCAAGAATTATTGGTATTTTTTGCTTCGTTGGACTATTGTAAAAAAATGTTAAAAACTTACAACCATGGAAAATCATAGGAAAACTTGTTGATTAGCGGCCGAGGGAATCCGGTTCAGGTTATAATTATCTCCCCTAAGACACGGTGTTGGGGTGGAGGGGAGGGGATTGACTAAATTTTATATTGGGCCTCCCTCGATCCGATCGATATCAAACTTCTGAAAAGGAAAGCGGTTTACATCTATACCCCTTCGAAACAAATTGCTGCCCTTTTCTGTGCCATAAAAAAGATAGATGTCGGGGGCCTAAGGCAGATTTCGCTTTCCCCTCATACGCTTCACCTTATGAAATTCGGTCAACACAATTTATACTGACCATATACCTAGAAAGGCTGCCCTTTTGAGAGAAATCCGCTGATTTTTTATATGGCGAAAAGAGTTCTCCCCCGGGACTCTTTTGATCAGTTACACCAAGAATGTAGCTCTTATCAAGTAATTTGATACATGTCGAAATGCGCAAAACGTAATTACTACTCTTGCAGAAATTCGATTTATGATGCGGATTTTAACAAGAATTCAGTGAATGCACGCGGAATTCGAGAGAAATAATTGTACTACCGGTAACCTACGACATCGTGTTTGCAAAAAGATAATCACCTGACCTCAAGTCTGTAAGTTTTTGAAAGGGTGGCTATCTATTCAGGCTGATGAAGGATTTCTCGAGGGGAGTTGCATTTGTCTTTAATGTGCACGGTTAAGATCGATGTTATTGTTTTGATGTTACTGATTCTTAAATTTTTCGCAATGATCTTATCGACCAAACTTTAATCTTCTTGAAAAAAGGCAACAAACAGAGACATCATGATTTTCCACTTCAAAGGTCTTCTCTCGGGATGTTATTATTTTCCTTGAGACACGTGCCTTATAACTCTCAAAATCCCTTTATAAC